CGGCTAAAGTTAGCTGCTCTTCTGCAAAACAGCAAAAATATTTGCAGCATGGCACAAGTGCAATGCAGCTGCTGTATTGTAGCTCGTCGGGACAATGTAAGTTAGTTGGTTCCACGCGGCAACTATTTGAACTCAAAATTCCCGAGCTTTCCGTCGTCGACCAGTGATCATCACTTTGGTCCGTTCCCAACAGAGTGCTCCAACATCTTGCAAATGCATTTCCACTTAGATCAGACAAAACGTGAATCCCTCAGCACAGAGAGGGCGGAGGAGTTGCTGCATGGTCTTACGGAAGGCGTAGTTTCTGTAAAACTAAGCGGCAAGAGTTTTGGCGATGGCTCCGCTCAAGTGGCCGCTGACGCATTGCAACGAGCAAGCCCCACCCTGGTTCACCTCGACATCTCCGATATAATTGCCTCACGTCCTGAGGATGAAGCCAAACGCACTTTAGCAACGATATCAGATGGCCTCGCCTCTTGTAAGCAACTTGAGTTTATCGATTTGTCGGACAATGCGCTTGGCGCAAAAGGAGTTCGTGCCATAGGTGAATTGCTCACTAACCAAGAAAAACTGAAGGAGCTTCTCTTGTGTAACAATGGACTTGCCGCAGATGCGGGGGATTTGATTACATCTGCACTTCTCGAAACAAAACCCACCTCTCTTGTTAAGCTTCATTTTCATAACAATCTGTTGGAAACTCCGGGATCGATCGCTTTAGCACCGATTGTCGAGCATAGTCCAGATCTAGAGGACTTCCGATTCTCCTCTCTGAGAATAGGGAGGGAAGGTGCGGTACGTATCTGCAAAGCCCTGCAACCACGATTTCAAACACTGAGATATTTGAACCTCGCCGACAATTCCTTTGGACAAGAAGGAGCTGAGGCGTTGGCTGACGCTGTGTCTGATGCGCCACTTCTTGAGACCTTGATTGTGAGCGATTGCCTCTTAGAGGACGATGGTGTCAAAGTGATCTGCGACTCACTACGTAGCGGAGCCCCGAAACTCCGCTCTTTGCACGTGGCTGCCAATGAGATTTCTATCACGGGAGCAAAAGCTCTCGCGCAGTTGATCAGAAAAATTAAGCTACGTGAACTGGTTGCAGAAGACAACGAATTCGGCAACGCGGGAGCTGTGCGATTGGCAAAGGGAATGAGAAGGAACTCCTGTCTGGAAATATTGAATGTTGAAGGATCTGAAGTTGGTGGACGAGGAGCTTTGGCCCTCGCTCAAGCTGCGGCCAAGCTAAAGTGCTTGAAGTCGTTACAGCTTGATAAGAATGCAATCCCTGCAGAAGTCGTAGAAGAAATTACTCGTTTGTTGGATGAAAGGCTAGGTCCTCTTGACGACAACGATGAAGAAGAGGATGAGGACGATGAGGACGACGAGGACGAGGACGACGAGGACGACGAGGAAGAAGACGAAGAAGACGAAGACGAAGCTACAGATAGGCAGGTTGCCTCTGAAGTTGTCGAAGACGCAAGAGCAGTCAGCGAGGAAGTCAGAGGTGAAGTTAACAACCTCGCTGCGGATATCAACAAGCTAAAGATATGAAAACATGTAATTTCCCACTTTTTGGTACACGTTGAAGGACGACACACATCTCGCTTTTCGCGGTTTGCCAACAGGAAACGCAAGTTATCAAATATTCACAATCACGAAGGTGCATTATCATTAATGGATTTAAGTGCGTTTCTGAAAACGGTCCGTTGAAAAGCAACTTCGCATAAGTTACCGACTCGATGCGAGCTCCTCGTATCTACAACACCGCATACTAGAACGAAAGGAAACGACCCCAATTTGTTTTCATAGGTTGATATGCAGATACTAGTATTCACGATAACGTTCCATTTAGACGCACTCACTATGAGGATAAAGAGCAGCACTATGTACAATGAGGCCAGTATATGCGAAAGGTGTCTGACCGGTTGGAAAAAAGGTTTCTGTGCAAGACGCGAGCATGGGAAGGGTAAAGCAAGCGGGGGGGGGGAATGAAGAGCGAAGACGAAGAACCCAGAACAACAACACGAGTATATCCGGGGTTCATGATAAATGAGTAGTGAAGCGGAGTCGTGTTGAAAGCCGTTTGCCCTTTCGACCGGGTTCGTTCCTATTGCCACCAAGTGGCATGCTGCGTCCGCCAAACCGTTTTCGCACATCTGTCGTCGTAGCACTGCGTTTGGGCAAAAGGAAACCTCCAAAGATACCTCTTGGAGGTTTGGTCGACAGCTTCGTACTCCCCGACTGATTCTCAGCAGCTGCTGGCTTGGACTTCCCGAACTTGCAACTTTCCTGCTCACTGAGTTCCGATAAGAGATTATCAGCAGCTGCATGCAAATCCGGATACCTATCGGGCTTGAGCTTGGCTAGTGCGTTTTCAATCCAGTCAGCCGCATCAAGGTCACACATGCGTTTCTTCGTCTGTGGAGCAAGAGCAGCAACGTCTACCAGAAACAGAACCGCCTGTTCCTGCACGATACATTCACCTGCAGTAGAGGCATCCTTGGTACGATCCAAAGCGTCAAGAGCTGCTTGTACGGCGCCGTCCTTGACGGCGGACAAGGCACCACTATAGCTTGAATCGACAAAATTACGAAGGGCACAAACACCGGCGTCCAACACCATAACGTCCTTGCTGCCACACTCGCTCATGGCTTGGATAAGTGCTGGAACACCGCCCTTATTGACAACCCAGGCGCGATTCTTCTCGCTTTCAAAAACCGCATTGCTAAGTGCAGAAGCGACTTCTCGGACAACGTCGGGTACGTTGCGATGGTCTTTGAGTGCGGAGATAAGAACGGGAAGTCCAGATGTGATCAAACGTCGATTTGCCTCCTGGAGACACAAACATCGAATCAAAGCTGAGGCCTTGGTGGCCACTGCGGGGTGTTTGGGATGGCGTTTGATGGCAGCGACGGCAACTTGTATTCCGCCAAAGTGCCCAATTGTATGCTGCACCTGGACGTTGTGCAAGGCAATGAGTGTGAGGACGGACAATGCAGTCTCAAGAAGCATTGCATCGTTCGGATCTCTGCGCATGGCGTGGATAATGGCACGCACGACGGATGGCTTCTTAATGGACGGCTGTTCCTCTTGTTCAGCAATGAAAGCGTTTTGCTTTTCGTTGTCAAGGGGCGGGCCCTTTGCTGGTAAGGGAGATGTTGGCGAACGGTCCGAGTAGGTGCTGCTAGATACAGACGGAGATGCGACAAGATTGGAGACGATTTTGCCAGGACACAAAGCAGCTCCATGACTGAAATGAGGTGTAACATCGGAAATCAAAACCTGCTCTTCATCCACAACCAGATCTCCATGCTCATCAACGATGTCGTCCTCGTCTTGTTGATTGGAGCTGTTTGAAAGCGGTGCAGTGGTAATGGAGCTAATTGTATTCGGAAATGAAAGCGGAGTAGCATCGAATTCAATAAGTCGTTGTCGATTTCGCTGGTGTTGATGACACAAACTCTCCAAAGCCATGATGCATTGAAAGCGCAACTCTGGATTAACAGTGCTTCCTCGAAAGCGAAGAATGGTGGAGGCAATAGCCTCAACGGCGCCTTGATTACCGGCGATGTATTGGTTGACCTGAGTTTGATGGGTGAGGTTTCGAATTGTGAGGGCGGCTCTCAATTGGATGTTTTGGTCGTTTGAAAAGGTGGTCATGGCTTGAATGATAGCCTTTATGGCACCTTGTCTAGTGATACGACGCTTTCTATGAGGGCATCCAAAAGCAATGTTTGCCATCAAGGGCAAGGCGCGATCTTGAATACGACGACTGTTGGGGTACTGGTCCATAAGCTGTAACGTAAGATCGATGATGCCGTCAAACATGACACGACGACGCATGGCATCGGTAACTGTGAATGCACGCAAGGCAGTAAGACATCGTGAAATGATTGAAACTCGATGTTGCCAACGGAGTATAGTTTGCTTGACGAGCAAGGTTGCGCCGTGCTGTTCGACAATGTCCAGTAGCAACGGCCACTTGACGGCCAGAAGAGCGAGCAATGCTACGAGTGCATCGGTATCAAAATCATCAGTTGATTGTAAAGGAGTGGAGATTTCTCGGACGATTATAGCGGCCCTTGTTTGCAATTGGCGTAGTAAAGGCGCATCTGTATCAGCTTCGACGGCAAGGGATTGATCGCCCAAAACGGAACGAATGAAGGATGCACGCGCTGCGGAATTATGCAAGGCGGTTTTGGGGTTTGCGAGTGTGGCGCGTACAAAAGTAATGGTGGCGGATTCCTCGGATAGATCCAAGGCGCCGGTTGCACTGGAGAAGGAATGGGGGTCATCTGCGTCGTGAAACGGGGCGGTTGAATGGGGTGGAGGCTCGTTTGGGGAGGAACTGTGGGAAGAGATTGATGACATGGCGGGGGTGATGGTGGTGTTGGTGTTTAACGTGATAGGTGATATGAAGGGGGGAAGGTACGTGGGTGCAAAAGTAGTAACGGACCGAAAGTGGATGGCGGGGGTGCGGTTGCGGTTGGGTAGGTGGCACGTTGCGAATGTGGGAGAGGAAGAGGACGTGACGAGGGGGTACGCGCGGCGGTGCGGCGCGGCGGTTTGTGTATGCGCGAAACGCAACTGGGGCGATTACGAGGAGGGGGCGGGTGTGGGGTGTGGGGTGGGGGGTTGCGGAGGGGCGCTTTGGTGGGTGGGTGCAGCGGTGGCAGGTGCAGGCGTATCTGCGCGTTGCGGTTGCACCGTGTTGGGGCGTGCCGGTGCGGACGTTGCGCTGGTGATGATTTGAGGTTTTTGGTGCGGCTGTGACTTGGCCAACTGGCTGGGACGCATGTCATGCGCTTGCGCTGACGCCTGTCACGTCGCCCTCTTGACTCTTGATTACAGTGCCGTCCAACGCCTCGCCATTGGCCGTCCGCCCGGTGTGACGCTTTCGTGACAGTTTTCGTTTCGACTGCTGTTTGGCCTCCGTGGAAGGAACTCACCACTTCCGTCAAGAGCGCGATGCGCAGCTGTCTTTACCGTATACGGTTTAGGGAAGCGTGGCCGAGTGGTCTAAGGCGCTAGTTTAAGGCACTAGTCCTCCGGGGCGTGAGTTCGAATCTCACCGCTTTCATCCGGGCCGATTACTTTTTCTCCGTCAAGGTAAGCCTAGCAGGTATCCAGCTTGGGCTCAACGCCCAACCTCCGCTGTCCATCCACGCGCTTCGCAGAGAGCCCTGGATCTGCACAACGCGACAGCACTCTTTTCGCTCGCCCGTCGCCTGCAAACTCCGCTCGAAAGTCGCCTTCACGGCGGTGCGTTTTGCAGCCCAGAGAGAGAAGAAGCGGCGCAATGGAGGACGCCGCCGAGCGCGCAATAAGCGATGTACGCCAGCGTGTCTCGCAAATAGAGAGCGACCTCGCCGCCCTGACATCCACCCAGCCACCACCCACACCCCCGCCAGACGCATCCGCCCCGCAAACAACCCTGTCGGAAGCAATCACCCAAGCGCTCCTGCAGCTCGACAACATCCACATTTCGCGAGAATCGGCCGCAGAGGCGCTTCGAAATGGCGATCGTCAACGCTCAGCGCGCATTTCCGTCTTGCTTGCACGTCGCAAGACGCTCGTGCGCAAGTTAAATGCACTGGGCGATCGTCTGGATTCGCTCAACTCATCGTCGTGAACTCGCTATGCTTTATGTTGTTATACGCCCGTAAAAAAAAAAAAAAAAGCCATACACACACTCCTTCTACCGATGCCGCTGTCGCGCTCCCGCGTTGGATAGCACAATCGTCGATTTGCCGTGCCATTTCCGCCCCTTCCTCGTCTCCTCGCCCTGCGTCCCAGACCCCCCCGCCCATACACCCTGCGCAGCATTACCACTCACACCGCTTCCAGGCCCTGTCCCACTGCCTGGTCCCTGAGATCCGGGCCCCACCGTTGTCTGTCCTAATGACGGAAACATCCCCATATTACTAGTAACAGAACTGTAACTCCCCACTTCACTCCCCCATACGCACTCGTTTTCCACAGATCCAGCCGTCCCTTCCCCACCACCCCCCTCATTCAAAGCAGGAAAGCTACTCACATCCCGACTATCAACCGTTTCCAACTCACCGTGTCCTCCTCTCGTTCCAACACCCTGTGCCTTGACGTACTCCCGCATCAGCTCCGATTCCCGTCGCACTCGTTGTCGTTCCTCTTTTGCATTCACTGCTCGCAGTCGTTTTCTCATACGCTCTCGTTCCTTCAGTTCATGTGCATGCGTTGCAATTGTAGCCGCTGATAACATGTGTGTCAGGTTCAGTTCCACAAACTTGAACTCACAACCATCTGCCAAGTGCGACAGGAATCTGTACCGTTTGCGAATCTTCTCATCCATCGTGTACCGCTCAATATGTACTACCTCTCCCTCGATTTCACTCGGTCCAGTATTAAACTGCCCTTGCAACTCCGTATTCAGAAACCGGTGATTCACCGGATGTAGAAATGCGTTCGTGCTGTCGCTTGCCTGGTAAAAGTACCACATCGCAGACCCCAATTCGCCCTGCCCCGCACATTGCTGTTGCTCTTCGTTATTCAGTTTGCGTCTATTGCGGAATATAATGTTCAAGCGGTGCATTTCATCCAGCGCCATATTCACAAAAGCTTTCAAACTTTCATCCTCACGTGCCAACGCGCGCAATGCCCGGATGTCATCCCATACTAGACGCTGCAAAAACACTGCATCCGCAACTACAAACCGCGAGAAAAACGCCTCGTCAAGCGACACACCGTGCGGAAGTTGCGTCTTGGGGAGCGAATGTGCGCTATGTCTGCTCGCAATTAAATACTGTTTATGCGATGAAACAAGCGTCATGCGGCATGGCAAACCCACCTGCATCACTGCCGGCTTCAAAAAGCAAACCGCTCTCAAGTCACTCACAGTCACCGTCTTCGCGCACAACGGACACTTTGCTCGACCACTTTCATCAGAAGTGATGCTTATATGCTGCAACATGCACACCCGATCAAACACATGTCCACACCGCGTGATACAAGCCGCAGAAGCGCTATGCAGACAGATAGGACATTGCGACATGCCCATGACGAAGACCAATTCAACTAGCTGCCAGGGCAGATTGTTCGGGGATAACGGCAGCGTGCCAGGTGCAACTGCGAAACGATTGTTCGGCTGCGGGGGCGGCGACTCGCGCGCCGCAGCGCGCGACGAAGACGCACGCAAGGGCAGTGGACGTCTTTCTGCTGGTGGCGGGCTGTAGCGAGAGAAGTTCAGTAGTGTGTCGGCTGGTACGACGAGCGCACGCCCTTTTCGAGCGCGTCTTCTTCGTGCGTCGGGCGAACTCATTGCTGTGGAATTGCGGGGCGGCTACGACTGGCGCGCGAGCGCGCGCTCTTCGGGCGCGATTGAGTTCTGACGTTCGCACAGGAGGGCGTGGCGCTGTTTAGTGCCGGAGCGTGAGGTGACAACCGCCTGCTGCCAGCAGTGCTCGCGTGGCATTGTTTGGCGAACATGCTCCGTTTTGAAAAATACAAGAGTATCATACAGTCTTCAGCCGTGTGCTCGGACGTCAACATGAGAAGTTCTTTCTTCGAGCGGCAACCATTTTGCCCTCCTAATCGTTTCTCCTGGTCCGGGTCATCATGGCGGAGCATCTCGCTTCCATCTATGGCACAGAAAAGGATAAGATCAACTGTCCATTCTACTTCAAGATAGGTGCGTGCAGGCACGGAGACCGCTGCTCCCGCGTCCATCATAAGCCCTTGTTCAGTCCGACCTTGCTTTTGCATAATCTTTACGTTTCTCCAAACCAGCTCATCTCCATCGCTGCCAAGCAAGGTTTACCGCCGCCCGTCATTCCTCAGCAAGACATTTTCAACCATTTTGAAGACTTCTACTGGGATATCTACGATGAACTTGCCAAGCATGGCCCCATAGATAAACTCTACGTTTGCGAGAACCTGGCAGACCATCTTGCGGGAAATACATACGTCAAGTTCTTAGATGAACACGCCGCCCAGCTTGCTCTCAATGCCATCAACGGTCGGTATTATGCAGGACGCCCTGTAAAAGCAGAGTTCTCGCCCGTCACTGACTTTCGAGAAGGAAAGTGTCGCCCGTTTGAACGGGATGGGCAATGCGAACGAGGTGACTTTTGTCATTTTCTACATCTGCGCAGACAACCGAATTCCGCAGCTCGGGAAGACACGCTCCATTATTCTGCAAGGAGGGAGGATGTGCGCGGATACAGACCCAGAGACAGAGCTCCTATTTACTACGATGGCAGGCGAAGGGAAGATAGATACCGTTCTTCTTCATCTGCTTACTATGATGCTGGGAAACGATCGGAGCGTGATCGTCTGCATGATCGCAGACGTGATTCCTATGAACGTCGAGATTCTTATGATCGTTACGCCGACCGTGATCGCGACTGGGACCGCGATCGTAATCGCGAACGCGACCGCGACCGAGACCGCGACCGAGACCGCGACAGAGACCGCGAAAGAGACCGCGACAAAGACCGCGACAGAGACCGCGACCGAGACCGCGACAGAGACCGCAACAGAGACCACGACAGAGACCGCGACAGAGACCGCGATCGAGTACGCGACAGAGAGCGCGACCGCGACCAAGACAAGGACCGAGAACGTGACCGAGACCGCGACCGAGAACGCGACCGAGAACGCGAACGCTACCGCGAGTACGACCGCGACCACCACCGTGACCGCGATCGTGCATACCGCTCATCCCGTGACCATCGCCATTAGCTTGCTGTGCGGTGGTCCCTGAGGCATACCAAATCTACTCTTGTATTGTTTTGTTTGCGTCAAGCCTGTTGACCTAAGATTACCTGTTATATGATTTGCACACGGTTCCTCGCACACTACTGCTATCGAGTACATTGATCCCCCTTGTCCCCGCTAGTTGTTATTAGTTTAATCAGAAAGAGAAACAAACCGGAACAAAACAGTCAAATGCTTGCTCCTGCTCACTTTTCCTTGACGCTGGTTCACTGGCTCGTAGCAGAGGTAAGCTTACGAGAGTTTGCCGTCACTTCTGTTCCTTTTTCATTCGCGTCAGTCAACTCACCATCGAGTATGTTCAGCGTTTCTTGTGGGAAGAATCGTGGTGCAATGCGTGATCGAATCACCATTAATGTGGCAATCACGGCCGGGAAGAACATGCTCGTCTTCTTGTTCAGTTTCAGCATCCAGAGAGCAGTAAGACAGCTTACCTGAAGGATTGTAAACGAATGCACTTGGCGAGCGGGCACCGTGGCCATTGGTGAGTCTTTCGGATACAATTTCGGATCCATAAACATGTATCGAATGCGACTAAGGAAGTCGTTCCCGTTCATCATGTTCCGTCCCAGAAACAAGAAAAGACCACTGATCACAGCCATAGGAATTCGACTCACCACGGGCAGAAGGAACAGTGAGCACAGTATTGCAAGGTGAATGAAGAATGGTGTCAACCGATTCTCCTGCACCGATATGATCTGATCTCTGCCATTTCTCGATTCTACCTCCGCCAGTGCTTGAACGTGCGCGAGGGATTGAACGGTGCCAGCACACATCCAAGGCAAACCCATCAGTGAGCAGACAAACGTGCACACGGCTAGAATGAGCATGTCCAAGTGATAAGCTGGTCCTTTTTTCAGCTTGTGTCGTGCGGAATTCACAACGCGGACAGAGATGTTTTGATCTAGAAAGAAGAGGCAGGTGAGTAGCAATGCTGGAACAATTGCCAAGAGGCGTAGGGAGAGTGGCGCGGCCATGATTGGCACCAAAAACGGTCGACCTCCAGCCAGAGAAAACGAGGAGGGGATTGACAGTCGTTCCAGGCCTACCTTTGCAACTGCAGGAAGTGCAGCTATAGTACTCATGGCCGCAATAGATAACACAGGTCCAAAGTCGGCAAGTGTATCCCTTGCCTTCTTGAACAGATACCTGGAAGTGCGCAACCCTGTCAAGAACCTTGCCGACACAAACGTTCCGAACGCTAAGGACAAGGCGACGAAGGGGTTGGTCTTATCCGCACCAAATACAAAGAACGCTCCTAATAATGCTCGAGTAGCTTCATACAAGAAATTTGTGGCAATCAAAGAGTTGAATATGTCATCTGTGAAG